GGGGGGGGGATATTCTCAAATGTATTTTTAGCTAATCTCAAGGGCATCGTCGCAAAAATTTTCCTCAATGTTCAGTAATTTCCCCTCGTTTTCGGGTTCGTATAAAAAAGTCTTGAGACGTTCCTGATAAAATAGAAACTAAAATGCTAAAGCAATCCAATCCTTAAAAAACTGGATTCTGAAATGCTTGTCGTGGACTTTGCCTTATTTCAGGCAAGTACAGAATAATTATCATAAATTACATATAAAGAGGCTATTAATCATGAACGATGCCGTGGATTCTAAATGTTAACTTTTGCTGAAACAGTTTTTGGTATCATATTAGCTATTGAACGCTCTGCCAGATCACAGTATCTTGAAACATTTTCAGCAAAGTAAACTGCATGTAAATAATTTTTCCAATTTTGAAATGTTTGCAAAAGGAAAACAAATCATGAAAATTAATGGCATTGAGTCATATAATGGTGATATTTCCCGTTGAAGTAACGGAATACTTTAAAGCTTCATTCAATTATGAGATGCTGGTGAAGACATCTATGTGCCAAAAAGTTTTTGTGCGTAGTTTTTGGCTATCATTACTGCTTAAATGAATTTGAAAGCCCCAAAGCCTATGCAACGGGTTCAAGTATATTTATGACATTTTCAGAAAATTTTCAATACTGCTGTCATCGATAGGAAGGTGATTATTTTCTAATCAACAAAGAAGCAAAGAAACTTGGTGATTTCCTCTAGCATCTACTCTAGAAATTATTTTGTACATACGATTGTCAGATCTGATTTGATAAACGCATGCGATAGCAAATTGTTGCAAGGCGGAATTCTATCACCATTACAAAAACCAACCATCAACAACAATTGTTTTATAAGTTATGCAGAAAAATTAGCCATATACAAAATACATTGATTTTCCATTGATTATAAATAAAATTTTTGCTTAACTTTCGTTTCTTCATCAATATATATTTTCCAAAACATTGAGTATGGCGTTTTCTTAGGCCGTAATTTTGCCTTCACGTGCCTCAAAGTGTACCTAACGCTAAAGTTTTCCTAACACTTGAAAATAGGGCAAACCCAGCTCGTATGGCCTAATATCAACACAGACTATTTTTACAATTCTGAAATCTGCGATTAATCCATTAGAAAACGTTGGTGTGTTTAAGATCGAGTATAATTTTCTTAAGTCTACCATCTTCATGTATTTGCTGAAATCTGCAAACAAAAAAATACGCTGGAATACTGCCTTTAAACGTAATGTTTTTCTTGTTACATGAGATGCGAATATGGAAATCTCGTTGTTTAAAAATGGACAACATTTAGTAATGCTAACTTGATTCTTAATGGCTTTCATATGTACTGTCTTTGTTGTTTCTGCAGGAGTATGCATGAATCGCTTAATCTCCTTAAATCCACACCGATCACCTTAAACTCCTTATAGATATTATTCTTTGGTTTTCAATCCTTTAAGTAAGACGCACTGCAAAAAGGGCATTATAATCGTGTGTGGAGTCATGCTTCCTTTGTATTTATAAAAAGAAGGAAATTCGGGCAGAACACACAAAATTTCAAAGATTTTTCGAAATTCATCCAATTTTCATGAATCTGAGAAAAAATTCTCCGCTACACAGTTTTTTAGCAAAGATATAACTCTGTAAACAAGCTCATGGTATCGGGTTAAGACATGGCTTTCTTCTCTTCCCAAACACACCTAATGCCTTCCTAAGTTTAATCGTAATCTCTTCTTTATTGTTACTTTATATCGATAGTTTACATATAAAAACTGCTAAACTTTAAAGTGGTCTTAGCAGACTTAGTCTACCTTAGCTTTCTTGATAGCCATAACTTTCATCGCAGAGAAAGCAAACTGGTGGCTTGTCCAATTGGAAGAGGTGGGAAATGAAACTTAGCCTAAAAGCTTTGCCGCGTTGTATTGAATTGCACCTTAAAGGGCTAAGCAAAATCACTGCCATACTTTATGCAGAAATCTCATCTCTTCAAAACAGATGGCATAAAAAGAATCTTTAAAATTAGCTTTGTTTGACTTTGAAATATTTCAACCAGGGCACAAATTCAGGATTTTCACTGGTTTACAGTGGAACCTCTCATGATGTACTTGCAAAATTAACAAGACTACAAAGAAACACCTTAATCATATATAAAGGCATATCCAGAAGACTGCCGCCACGGGAAGCGATCGACTTCATCGTCATCGCATATTGATATGGCAGAAGATATTGATTAGGAATTTCTGGATGTAGCCGAGGCAAGATCACGAAAATAGCCCATAGATAATGATGTGCGATAGACTGAAGAGAGGCTATTCAAGTAGCTAGTATTACCTATTAAGATGTTCAAGGATCCTTTTTTATTGCTGCACAGATAATTCGACAAAATAAACTTCTTCCTACATAGAAAAGGATCTTCTTTATATGAAAATCTACATAGGGCAACAACAGAGTAATATGTCCTTTTATTTTTGAGAGTCATATAGAATAACCATACGAAAAATATAAATGTATTGAACTACAGAAATGGAAATAACTTATAAGGAACAATCAACATCCCTTTCTTGAGACATCATGTTTTCTCATGAAGAGATATCGTATTTTCTCACTTGTTTAAAGAAGACATACTCGTATTCTACATTCAAGCAGTTGTTCCTCAAGAGATCTTTATGTTTTTATCTCGAGATCACAGAGAATCAAGGCATCGGAAATCTAAAAAGCGTTAGTACCCAGTTAATTTTCTAAGTATAGAAAAAAGATGATTTTTTAGTTGGATGCAAAAAACTTAAAAACATACTTACTAGAAAACTAAAAGCAATCTGAAGCGCTTGCAAAAATTTACATCGCATTAAAAGATAGATTTATCGCATTTATTGTCATAATTGGTCGATTATAAAATATCTGAGCCTTGCCAAAGAAACCCTATAGAGATTCCTTATCAATTATCTCTGATCTTGTTGCAATGCTTAGAAGGTAAGATTGACAAAGTATTCTAATGATGATGAGCTCAATGAAATAGTTTTCAAGCTTTCATTCGGTTGTTATTAATGGATATAATTTAAATTATAACGATAATCCGAGACAAGCGGATACAAAAGATCCCAAAAAGCATTGCAGAGACTGGTGACTCTCCATTTAAAACTGCCTTATGCTGCAAATTAATACAGAAAGTATTTCCCCTTAAGCTGACCATCATCTTAATTCATAGCTGCTCTACATCAAGGGTTTCCGTTTAAGCTTTCATTATCCCAAAATCCGGTATCACTAGCGTAGGTTTTCTGTTGAAAATCCAGCGAACGTTACATTAACCAACCACGATGTCATTTTTAATGTAGCCTACAATCACTCAAAGAGGGATATTGATAATCCTTCATGGAATAATTCAATTTAAGCGTGTTTGCCTAATATTAATAGAGGTAATTTTTTTCTAGCAACTGCGTTGTTAAGAAAGCGGATTACTTCGAAAAATTTCTGAAAGATAATCACTATGGCTGACCTGAGTTGCAACGGTCATACCAGAGAGATCTAAGCTTTCTATTAAAAGGTCAGTTACTCTAACAGTCATCACACGCCGCTGATAAAGTTTTTGAAACTTGCATGGCAAAATTTACTCCAATATTCCCCTACATGTTTAGTTTAGCTGACTTCTTATTGTTTTTCTTTTCTAACTTTTTTCTGTTATTCTCAACTGCAAAACGAGCGGCAATAGGCAAGCCGAAGAAGCTAATGCATAGAGTTAATAACTTCTTCTCCAGGATTGCCAATTTCCTTGGATGAGAACTTAACTAATGGCTGCTTGAAATTGTATGACAGATGCTCACAATCTACCAAATATTTAGGATTGAGAATTTTCACATTTTCTATTAGAAATTTTTGTTTAAGACCAGCTATTCTATTCAGCTATCAATAAGCTTGAAAGAACATGGTTAATTCAAGGACATGTTCCACTTTTTGAAGGTCTTGCTCAACACATCTTTAGGAAAATAATCAGATATTACTGTAAAGTTGTTAAGCATATTCAAAGATGTTAATCATCTGTTACTCGCTGTTTGTCACTCCAAAAGTTTCGAGTGATTTGTTTATTTGATTTTTGATTGACTTGCAGCTTGGCTTATGCAGAATGCCTTTACAAAAAACAACTTTGATGCAAGATACATTTTTTGGTTTATAGTTATCGTTTTGGTAGAGAGTTGAGTTGAAAAATTCCCTGTTTTTAGTGTTGACACTTCAAAGAGGGATCTGTCAAAGAACATTGCTTTCTTATCCCCTGGTTCATGGAAAGTCGTCCTTTTTTTCTACTTTTAATACACCCGAGTAGAAACACCCGTTCAAAAATAAAAGCTATGTAAAGTAGTCTACTGCCTTAACGTGTCAAAGAAAAGTGAAATATTAATTTCTACAAAGTTATTTCATAGCCGCGTATCAGATATACCAACGCTAAAGGAACCACGTCAAAAGTCTTTAGACGCTAATAAGTTAACGAATAATCGAAAAAGACGAAGAAGATAAGACAAGGTAAATTTTTGATAAAGCCGTCCCAGCTGAAGAGATTGAAGCAGAGATTGAAGGAAGACAATTTTGTTAAAAAGGATGGCTGTACATTTGTGGGCTATCTAAAACATACATCTGAATTCGTACAGAAAAAGTGACCTAATTCTTATAGAAATCAAATTAGCAATTGATAATTTAATTTGGTTTCCTACAGTGTTATAATGAAATTGTTTTATTCACCCAACAATTGTGATTTTATACTATTTCTTTATCTTACACGGTTCCAAAATTTTTCGTCTCAAAATTTAATAATGTCTAGAAACTTTTAACTTTAAGTTTACACTAGACTTTTTGTTTCAATGGATATAAAAATTTGTCTCAGATTTTGTGAGCAATGTGTCAAATAACAGAGGATAGAACACTTAATCAACAGGTTCATATGAAAATTCATTGAATGGAAAAGCGAATCAGCATGAACCAACAACAAAAATTTGAAACTGAACTTACGATAATGGTGACTATGAGGTAGAGTGACGGGACGGTACGGAGGACGCTCACAGCAAGGGCAGGAGTAGCAGGCAGCAGGACAAGGTATCAGCGCTCTTGGTTCCTCTACAGGTGACCTGGACACGGGCGATTTCCAGCAACATGGTAGTACAGACTCGCCCCCTCTGTGCTCGACCCTTTCGGGGGATGACGATCGCTCCAGCTGAAGGATGTGTTTAATGGAAAAGGAAGCCATGACTGTTCACTGCAGATGCAGCTCGATCTGAGATATGCGTTGTCCGTGATGAAAGTATTGTAACCTTGCCTTCAGCTGTCTGGGCTTGAACACAATGCTAGCAAGCAGTAAGGGCTAATCTTGTCTTAGGCGATTATGCTGGTGACACATTCCGTCAATAGCTCTTTGTTCCAAATCCGAATTAGAATTTGTACATGGGCGCAATCCGACAAATGCGCACACATAAACAAATTGATTGCCTAAGCAAATATTAGCTATTTTCTTCAGGATCGGTGCTTTGTTTTTAATTATAACTGCAAGAACACATTAACAACACCAGAGCACTGGAATCTTATAACTGTCACTTGCTACTTATCACACTCGAGTCGGCCACGGGTTAATTTAAGGCAGTGTTGATAGTAAATAACACCCGCTCGTATCCATAACGCGGAAACAGTCATGAAGACTTCTTATTAAATAATGAATTTTTTCGGATTAACTGCTTTCTGATTGCAAAAGAACATTTCCCCGCCGTGCCGCAACTCTTTTACAGCTCTCCTTGCCCTTTGACGGGATATTTCCAGATCAGCATTATGTACTATTATCCATATGCGCGTATGATTACAAATCGACTGTGAGGGTTTTAAGAATTCAAAAATGCTTCGCAAGGATCGATAATCAAGTGATGTGGAGCAGTTGTCTCTAAGATATGATGGAAACTACTATGAATAAAATCCACATACATTAATATCGACAATGATCGTCTAGATTTGACTGCTTACAACCAATCCCGCTCTTCTTACTTTACAAAATGACTTGATCCTGTATGGGAACGACAGCGCTACATATCATTTCTGAGCAACTTCCCGAGCTTTGCAAATCAAAAGCGGGCAAAGATTAAAACGGTTTGCCGACGTTTATCGTCAGCAGGATGCTGCCTTTCAAATAACACTTCGGTGGTCGAGTTGGCAAAGAGTAGTCCTTACATAACCACAGCTCAGTTTTTACCGGGGGTTTCTCAGTCACTTCGGGCAATTTACGTGCAAAAGAACATTCAAAATTGACTTTCATTATATCAGAGTTATAAGAAATAAGAAAGTCTAATGGGGTCAGTATCAATCATGGGCTGGATATTTGTACGTCGTTCAAATTTCAGAACGAGGCTGGAGACAACATAGGCCTAAGTCTTCGCAGGACGAGAGGGACAGAAGAGTGGCCTGGAATATAGTCCATATCCTGCTCCCTATTATTGAATAGAATTAATTCATTTACTGTTTCGACATTGTCTCTACTGTCTCTACATTGTACTTATTGTCTTTACTGTCATTGTCATGTCTATTGTCATTTACTACTGTTTTTACATTGTATACATTGTCTCTACTGTACCAACTATTTTTGTCATATAACGGTGCAAGCTTGGGTTTTGTTCTTGCTGCCGCAAATTTGCAAAGAGCAATGTCATCTTTATCTTGTACAGAGCTTTTATCTTATAAATGTCTGTAGATAGTAAGAAAAAGACTTTTCCAATAAGAAAAGATGTTTTTTTTGGCTTTAAAGAAAGGAAGACATTCAATTGTTTGGGAAATTCTGACTCTTTTTTGGTCTCCGTTTCAAAGCGAACGTAAATATGTAGGTAGAATGTAACTTTGACAGGACAACGAAACATTTTCCATCTTATTTCGGAATGTCGTTAAAATATTTCCTTACGCAAAAAATTCGGTACAAAACAGGGAAAATAAAAATATTTGAGAGGTGGAGTGTGGCAGAGCTGACAGTGAAAATGGCGGTACTGAGGATAGGAAATACTTTTCGCTGTTTTACGATTCTAATTTTATAGCAAGACGTCATCGTCTCGGCAGTGTGAAGTAAATTTTGCAATTCCAGGGAGTAATAAGCCAATAAAATTAAGTTTTATTGCAAATTATCCTATACGGCCGTTAAAATAATCTTTAGATTCAATGATAGAATTATCGCGGTGATGTTACAGAACGGTTTTAATAGGTCATACCAAAATTATCACTGCACATTTTTATAAAAATAGGGGTATTTGGGCTGGACCCTCAAATAATCTTGCTGATCATGTCCTTTATTTTCACTACAACTCCATTTTACCACAAAGATACAAGAAGAAAAAAGAGACTTGTTTTGATATCGCGAATGATACCTCACCCAAGGCATCTCGTGATACAATAAATCATTCAAAATGTTAAGATCTGTTTTAGAATGGTTGTTGATATTTAAATCATTTCTTTATCTAACCTTTCTTTTTGCATTTTTCCTCAGGCTCGGACAACACCGAAAGATAAGGTCGTTTGGAAAACAGTGGCACTACAATAGAAACTTAGTATTATTTCTTGCAGCCGCTTTCTTGCCTTCATTTAAAGAGATCTACTATAAGCATACATTAGGCACATTTTTTATCAATGCCATTCTATAATGGAATTCATTACCTAATGGAACCGGTTAAAGATTGAAAGCCTCGAGCAATTTTCCCACTCTGTCCCTTCCCTCGATGGTCCTGGGTATGCTAAGGTCATCATCCTTGATGGCCCTAGGTATGCTAAGGTCATCAAAATTCTATTTTATAGTAGAAAAATTTTGAATTTTTGAAAAATGCGTAAATTTGTCCTGTTGTGACTATAAATATTAGTTTTACCAAGTTTCACCACTGTGCTATTTGTCTCTACTAACATTGTTTTGCAAATTATTATTTATCATTTTTGTAAGTGCTACTTGTTCTATGTGAGTTATGATATCTTAATTGCTATATGTAAGTTACTATATTGTATTCATTGTTATGTAATTATAGTTTGAGATTTGTATGTTAATGTTATCGTCACAGGGTTGCTATGTGTTTCCATGCTCCTTTTGGCATAGTTTTGCAGTATGTTGATGTTAAATTTTATGGGAATATAAGTAATAGTATTATCATTTGATTAGGTGGGTCGGTTTTGTATGGTGCACCTTACAAGAAAAGAAATGGAATGCAAATCAATGGAAATTGGCTATCTAGCGCTGAGATTTTGTAAGTTTGTGTTTAGAATTACTGCAGAAAAGTTGTTTTTAGTTTACATATGTATATCGGCATAAATGGCAAAATTTTTATTTCACAAAAAACAGTTGTGCTGTATAAAAAATGTTACAGAAAGACAATGACAAAAAATTTAATTTAATTTTTAATCGCGTTCCATCCTTTCAAGGAGGAATCATCAGCCTAATTATAAATGAACACGAGTTCTCTGCGAATTTACTGAAAGTATCCTTAATTTTATGTCACAATTATTTCTAGCTTTGTTTACTGTTATCTGTCTGCCAAATTTTACGGTTTAATGTTGGTTTAAATTTTCTTATAAAATACTGCTCCATTTCTTCTCGATATATCTTGTCATTATGGTTGACAAAAAAAATCATCAAAAATATCGATGTCTGGGTTCTACTTACAAAACAGACCATCTTAAAAGGCCTTTGTTGCATGAAAAGTCTCAAGAGGGCGTTCTGTTGAAATGCAAGCAATGTAGACAATAAATATGATAAAACTGATTCCAGTAGTTATCAATCAAGCTCCTTTTGATCGAATGTCTTAGTAACAGGGACCACGGAAACGGGGAAGGGGGGCCAAGGGGGCTTTAACCCCCCCAATAATTTCTGAAATGTATTTAATACCATAAGAAACTGCCCTGTTTATGATTTTTAGCATGTTTAGCCACCCCCTAAACGTTTAGCCTCCTCAATCTGCAATATGCTCCACGGTCCTTGCTTAGTAAATAAATTAATTTCAAGCTTCTATCACTGCCAACATTGGGAACACCAAGCACTTTGCGCTGTGCTTTCTCATTATTTATTTGTTTTCCCAAATACTATTACCTTCGTCCTCCTTTGCCCCCCCCCCCAGAACAATGTTGAAAGTATAGAAAAATATCATACAAGCCACAAGAAAAGCTTACTCCACGACTCTTTACTTCTAAAGTATATCATTGTTCCTAGGGGGAGTGGGGGGTGGCTGAATTTGCCTTCGAAAACTGACGTAGTGATCCGAGACTTTTGATAGTTATTGTAGCGGTGTTAAGGTGGGTTTCCATTTTATTCGCTCTGATCGCGCGACTGAGCGAATGCACATTGAGGCATGCGCAAATTGAACTTCCCCATTCCCTGCGAATGCGCGACCATTAGCTGAGTAGTTCAACTCAGTTGAAATACTGGGCGACTGGTCGCGTTCACCGATTCACTGTCTTGTTGATTCGATTTTGCCAAGTCGCGCGACCAGAGCGAATCAAGTGGAAACCGGCCTAAGAGATTGGATCTATGTCAGTCGCCAAGATCGACACATATGGAATGATAGCTTGCCAGTGAACTGCTATCTTAGATCCTGAGAATGAGGAAAAGGTTTAAAAATCTATTAATTGTAATAGCATTTTCCTGGAAGTTCCCGCCACTTTTTACAATAGATATAAAGTGCGTAAAAGCTCATACTTATTATAAATCTTAAGTATCATAAGACGCTCAGAGCTTTAACTAACTGATGAAAAAGAAATTTGAATGTCGAGTTTTTGTTGAATCAATTTAATCTTCTATTAATCATTCGTAGTAATTCAATATTCTTTGCAATTATCATTCGTAGTAAAAATCAAGCATTGACAATAAAATTCAATAATTTTGCTTTCTGACAAGACTTTGTAATTAATGACGGTTGATCCTCTTGTGAGCAATTTATGACAGCCATACTCATTAAGCAGATAGACGGGATCTTCTCACCAGTATAAATGCAATTTTTTCCTCTTGTTTTAAAAGGCTCTCAAATGCATAGTTGTAGAAAATCATCCTGTACGGCCATGAACAATTATATCTCGATTAAAATGCAAAAATTCTTCAAGCGAACTTAGATTAAATCCACGCCTCCCAACATTTTGAATAAGAAAATAAAAACTTATAATTCTTCTTTATCGTTAAACATTTTCTTTTTCTTTCATTTTTTAAAATCATTCTCTGGGTAGGTAGTCATGATATTTTCTCCTTCTGGTATCGTCTTCATAGTGTTGTATAATAGTTCCATAGTTAGTTATTCGTTATTGAAAATTTTAAGATGGAATAGAAAGCAAAAACTTTGTAAATCTGAATGTAAAAATTATCGCATTAAAAGTCAGACTTTTTGTCAAATTACAAAGGTTTTTGTGATACTAGACACGTTTTATGACTCAAATTGAGAGGTATCCTCAAAGCTCAAAGAGTAATTTGTTCAGCCCCCCAATTTTTTGCAAAAAAGTGTTTTTATAAGGAAATAGAAAAAAATAGAAATTAAAGATAAGAATAGTGCAATTAATCCTTTTACAGTATTGTTTTATTTCAAAGGAACAAGCCGGGGTCTATGGTGCCCCATAAAGCTAGTCTAGAGGGCGTGGTGGTAAAAATTTTCTGCTCGCCTCGCTCGCAAGGAAGCCTCCTCTTTGGATTCACCTAGGGCCCCCGAAAACCTCTTGCCCCCCTTCCAATGTACCACTAGCATAACGACTGCCCCATAAGACCATAGGCACAACATACCGTGTAGCATTTTAGTGCGTTTTTTAAAGGTTGTTTTTTTAGTTTAATAATGTCATCAACTCGAGCCCCCTTACTTTCAATTTCGTGGCACCGCCCCTGAAATGTCAATATTGGAAAACTTCATACCATGTCTACAGTAGGAACGACATTAATTCCTGGCATCAAATAAAACAGGCACTGCCAAGGAATGCTTGTTTAAAAAACAGTTGCTGTATCTCTCTAAGGCTACTCAGGTGAATGTGTTTACAACTAAGGAATGTAGAGAGGATGCTGCGATGGAATCAACTTTGAATACGTACAAAACATTTTTATCAC